TGCGTACGTGGGGCCTGAATGTGTACGTGGGGCCTGAATGTGTACGTGGGGCCTGAATGTGTACGTGGGGCCTGAATGTGTACGTGGGGCCTGATTGTGTACGTGGGGCCTAATTGTGTACGTGGGGCCTGATTGCGTACATGGGGCCTGATATGTGGGGCCTGATTGCGTACATGGGGCCTGATATGTGGGGCCTGATTGCATACGTGGTGCCTGATTGTGTACGTGGGGCCTGATTGCGTACGTGGGGCCTGAATGTGTACGTGGGGTCTGATTGTGTACGTGGGGCCTGATTGTGTACGTGGGGCCTGATTGCGTACGTGGGGCCTGATTGCGTACGTGGGGCCTGAATGTGTACGTGGGCCTGATTGCGTACGTGGGGCCTGATTGCGTACGTGGGGCCTGATTGCGTACGTGGGGCCTGATTGCATACGTGGGACCTGCTTGCGTACATGGGGCCTGATATGTGGGGCCTGATTGCGTACGTGGGGCCTGATTGCATACGTGGGACCTGCTTGCGTACGTGGGCCTGATTGGGTATTTGCGCCTGTGTAGGTGCGTGAGAGCAAGCATATTTGCACATTACGTCCCTGATTGAGGGTAATTGGTGGGCGGGCTTGGGTAATGTGGTGTTATTGTCATGGAAGCGGGTAGGGGGGAGGGGCTGGCTGAGGCCTAATTGGATATGGTTATGAAGGAGCAGTAAGAGGAGCGTCAATACCCTGGTTGGGAGGGCCATTGTGGATGGTGATAGCCAAACCTCATGAAAATGCAAATTACCATTATCTGGCACTGGGCAGTCGCATTGTGAAGGCCCTGCGTGTGTGTGTTTACTATTTGTGCCTGCAGGAATGAGCTGTTAGCTCTTGGACCCCGCCTTTCTAACCATCGGATGTTTATTATACTGACTCCCTAGACCTACTTTCCTCCATCGTACTTACTACATTTATTTCTAACACACACACACACACACGGAATGCATTAGGAAGTGATGTGGTGGAGGCTGACTCCGTACACAGTTTCAAGTGTAGATATGATAGAGCCCAATAGGCTCAGGAATCTGTACACCTGTTGATTGACGGTTGAGAGGCGGGACCAAAGAGCCAGAGCTCAACCCCCGCAAACACAACTAGGCGAGTACACACACACACAATGGGATCTCGCGGCTCAGTGGACAGCGCTTGGGGGTCGTAGTCTTAAAGGCACGGGTTCGACTCCCGGCCGAGGCAGAAACAAATGGGCAGTCTTTCACCCTGATGCCTATGTGCATGCATGACTTAGACTCGCACCTCTGTGATGGGGAAAACATTGATAATTATGTAAATATTACCTTATTATTGTAAACAAACTAATAAACATTATCGATTACAAATTTCAGAATGATATTTTGGCAATATATAATTAGAAACAAATACGAGAGCCTTATGAACTACTAATAAGAGACTTTTATGAAAAAAGAGGGACCTCAGATGACAAGAGATTAGAATTTCAGTTGTATGGATACCATACAAGCCTGGCCTGGTCGACGACCGGACCGCGGGGACGCTGAGCCCCGGAAGCACCTCAAGGTAACCATCTCGCATAAATATAACCCAACTTGAAACCAGAGACTTACTGGTCAAATTAGTATGTAACAAAGATGAAGCAGAACTAGACTTAGATATCTCCTCAATATCTGTTAAGACAATATTGTTCCAAAGATTCAGGTCTGATAGAGAAATTACAAACACCCCAAAGGCATGAAAGCACTAGTTTGACTAGTATAAAAATAAACAAAATTCACATTTCAAACTCGTATAAATGGGCAGCACAAAAAGTCCATCACACAGTGAACATAACAATAAAGAGGTACCTGGGAGTTAGTCAGCTGTCACAGGCTGCTTCCTGGGGGTAGAGGCCTGGTTGAGGACCGGGCCGCGGGGACACTAAAAAGCCCCGAAATCATCTCAAGATAACCTCAAGAAGTGGGTTCTTGGATCAGGTTGGGCAACCGTTACCTGTAGCAGGTGGAGGATCTCTCTCACACTCCTCAACACTCGTGTTGTGAGCAGGAACTGGGTCAGGATCCCACACCCAGCATTACTGAATGTCCAGTCATTAGACTCTTCACACCTGCTACAATGGGCTACATGGAGCGTTGCAATAACTTTACTAACTCGCTCTCTTGTGTATATTCTCATAAAACATCAACATTTTGCTAAAAATTACAGTGCCACACATTCACAGATCACCAGCGACCTCCAGCTGCCACAGATGACCGCGGCCTCCAGCTGCCACAGATGACCGCGGCCTCCAGCTCCCACAGATGACCGCGGCCTCCAGCTCCCACAGATGACCGCGGCCTCCAGCTCCCACAGATGACCGCGGCCTCCAGCTGCCACAGATGACCGCGGCCTCCAGCTCCCACAGATGACCACGGCCTCCAGCTCCCACAGATGACCGTGGCCTCCAGCTCCCACAGATGACCGTGGCCTCCAGCTCCCACAGATGACCGTGGCCTCCAGCTGCCACAGATGACCACGGCCTCCAGCTGCCACAGATGACCGTGGCCTCCAGCTCCCACAGATGACCGTGGCCTCCAGCTCCCACAGATGACCGTGGCCTCCAGCTGCCACAGATGACCGCGGCCTCCAGCTGCCACAGATGACCGCGGCCTCCAGCTGCCACAGATGACCGCGGCCTCCAGCTGCCACAGATGACCGCGGCCTCCAGCTCCCACAGATGACCGCGGCCTCCAGCTGCCACAGATGACCGCGGCCTCCAGCTGCCACAGATGACCGCGGCCTCCAGCTGCCACAGATGACCGCCGCCTCCAGCTGCCACAGATGACCGCGGCCTCCAGCTGCCACAGATGACCGCGGCCTCCAGCTCCCACAGATGACCGCGGCCTCCAGCTGCCACAGATGACCGCGGCCTCCAGCTGCCACAGATGACCGCGGCCTCCAGCTCCGACAGATGACCGCGGCCTCCAGCTCCCACAGATGACCGCGGCCTCCAGCTCCCACAGATGACCGCGGCCTCCAGCTCCCACAGATGACCGCGGCCTCCAGCTCCCACAGATGACCGCGGCCTCCAGCTCCCACAGATGACCGCGGCCTCCAGCTGCCACAGATGACCGCGGCCTCCAGCTGCCACAGATGACCGCGGCCTCCAGCTCCCACAGATGACTGTGGCCTCCAGCTGCCACAGATGACCGCGGCCTCCAGCTGCCACAGATGACCGCGGCCTCCAGTTACGGCAGAGAAGCGTAGCCACGTCCCGGGCTAGCGGAAGCCAGTAGGTCATGGCAGTATTATGGAGACAATCAATACACCGGTAGCTGGCCTGGTGGGTGCTGGTCTGGTCGTCCCGTCCCTCCGGTAGCTGGCCTGGTGGGTGCTGGTCTGGTCGTCCCGTCTCTCCGGTAGCTGGCCTGGTGGGTGCTGGTCTGGTCGACCCGTCCCTCCGGTAGCTGGCCTGGTGGGTGCTGGTCGATCCGTCCCTCCGGTAGCTGGCCTGGTGGGTGCTGGTCGATCCGTCCCTCCGGTAGCTGGCCTGGTGGGTGGTGGTCGTCCCGTCCCACCGGTAGCTGGCCTGGTGGGTGGTGGTCGTCCCGTCCCTCCGGTAGCTGGCCTGGTGGGTGCTGGTCGACCCGTGCCTCCGGTAGCTGGCCTGGTGGGTGCTGGTCGTCCCGTCCCTCCGGTAGCTGGCCTGGTGGGTGCTGGTTGTCCCGTCCCTCCGGTAGCTGGCCTGGTGGGTGCTGGTCGACCCGTCCCTCCGGTAGCTGGCCTGGTGGGTACTGGTCGACCCGTGCCTCCGGTAGCTGGCCTAGTGGGTACTGGTCGACCCGTGCCTCCGGTAGCTGGCCTGGTGGGTGGTGGTCGTCCCGTCCCACCGGTAGCTGGCCTGGTGGGTGCTGGTCGTCCCGTCCCTCCGGTAGCTGGCCTGGTGGGTGCTGGTCGTCCCGTCCCTCCGGTAGCTGGCCTGGTGGGTGCTGGTCGACCCGTGCCTCCGGTAGCTGGCCTGGTGGGTGCTGGTCGTCCCGTCCCTCCGGTAGCTGGCCTGGTGGGTGCTGGTCGACCCGTGCCTCCGGTAGCTGGCCTGGTGGGTGCTGGTCGACCCGTGCCTCCGGTAGCTGGCCTGGTGGGTGCTGGTCGTCCCGTCCCTCCGGTAGCTGGCCTGGTGGGTGCTGGTCGACCCGTGCCTCCGGTAGCTGGCCTGGTGGGTGCTGGTCGACCCGTCCCTCCGGTAGCTGGCCTGGTGGGTGCTGGTCGACCCGTCCCTCCGGTAGCTGGCCTGGTGGGTACTGGTCGACCCGTCCCTCCGGTAGCTGGCCTGGTGGGTACTGGTCGACCCGTCCCTCCGGTAGCTGGCCTAGTGGGTACTGGTCGACCCGTCCCTCCGGTAGCTGGCCTGGTGGGTACTGGTCGACCCGTCCCTCCGGTAGCTGGCCTGGTGGGTACTGGTCGACCCGTCCCTCCGGTAGCTGGCCTGGTGGGTACTGGTCGACCCGTCCCTCCGGTAGCTGGCCTGGTGGGTACTGGTCGACCCGTCCCTCCGGTAGCTGGCCTGGTGGGTACTGGTCGACCCGTCCCTCCGGTAGCTGGCCTGGTGGGTACTGGTCGACCCGTCCCTCCGGTAGCTGGCCTGGTGGGTGCTGGTCGTCCCGTCCCTCCGGTAGCTGGGCTGGTGGGTTTTGGTCGCCCCGTGCCTGGGGTCTTGGGATGTTGATGCGCGTGGTGCTGGGTGCTGTGTCCCAGTCACTCCCCCACCTCCCCATACTTAACTACCCCCCCCCCCACCCCCCTCTGATCCCTTCCCACTACCCCTTCCCTCTGTCCACCATCCCTCCCACCTCCTCTAACCAACAAGAACGAAATAATCAACATGTTGAAGAACAGACATTGGCAAAGCACTACATATGAAACAATGTGAAGCATGTATGAAGAGCCGGTTGAGAGTGGTTGAGTGACCGTGGTCCAGAGCGAGACAATATGACGGAGGAGGGTGTAAAGGCTCACCTGTCTGTGCGGTGGTGTAGTAGGTGTCACAGTCGACGGTGAACATGCCGCACTGGAGGGCGTCCAGGTGCATGATCCTCTTGTGCAGCTTCTCCGTCTCCACACAGCCAGAGCGCGAGGCGTCGGGGAAGATGTGCAGCCTGTCGGTACCAAGGGCCTCGTCGACATTAGTAACACACTTAAGAATTATTCAATAATATATACAAACTCGTCCTTCATCTATGGTAAAGGAAAGTCAACTTGGAAGGATTCAATTTACATGAGATTAAGATTAGGATACAAATATATCTGGCAATACGGTGTTTGATGTCAGTGAAAAAAATAAGGAGTGTAAATTATGTAGTATGCCGCACGCCCACACCTTAGAACATTATGTATTAGAGTGTCAACTTATTGATAACTATAGAAATAAGGAAATAAGTAGTGTGCTACATCAAATTGTTTGCATGTGTGATAATGGTATGATAGACATTATACTTAGGAGCTACAAGAATTTTGCCCCAAGAGTGTAACAATTATATGCTGTACTTACTATATTAACCTGCAATGTTAAATGGGATTCTCGTAATTTTATTTGTCTATTTGTACTCAATGAATTTGTGCGCCCCTTGAGGGACTTGAAGTAAGTAAGTAATTATCAAAAGAAGGCACCAAACCGGGAAGGCTATGTAGCACCATCAAATACGCAAAATAATCAGAGGGCGCTAAATATCACCAAGGATGCCAATACGAGAACAAAAACGCATAAGGCGAACGATATCAAAAGTATCCGAGTCACCAAGAATTCTATCGAGGGACAGGTGACCGCGAGGGGCGGTCGGAAAGCAAGACACACGCTCGTCCTGGAAGTCAGGACATTCAAGAAGGACATGCACGACCGTAAGAGGGACAATGCAACTAGGACAATAAGGAGCAGGGCGGCGCTCCATCAAGTGACCATGGGTTAAGCGAGTATGGCCAATACGCAACCTCGCCAGAGCTGTTTCCCACCGCCGGTTACGGTGGAAGGAGGACGGCCACGAGGAAACACAACATTTAAGAGTACGTAGCTTGTTACCAGTAACAGACAACCAAGAAGCCTGCCAACGGGTAAGAACTGAGGAATGGATAACTGGGTAAAAGTCGGAATACGGAATGCCTTTACGAGAGATGGGACAAGAGCGGACAGCTTCCTTAGCGGCAGCATCCGCACGCTCATTTAAAGACACACCAATATGGCTGGGAACCCAACAAAACTCAACCGACTTAAATTTACTGTGAACGAGAAACAGCCAATGCTGGATCTCGACAACTACTGGATGAACCGGATTAAAGGACCCGAGAGCCATGAGGGCACTACGAGAGTCAACAACAACCACAAAGGAAGACTGACAACGAGAAAGCAGGAGACGAAGAGCATAGAGAATAGCATAAAGTTCTGCTGTAAAGATGCTAGTCTCCGGAGGCAAGCGACACATATAAGTGCGATCAGGAAAAACAACAGAGTAGCCAACACCGTCCGCTGACTTAGACCCATCGGTGAAGACAGAAACGGAGCGGGAGTGAGAAGAAAAGTGCTCGAGGAAAAGGCGTTTTAGAACCGTAGGAGGGGACTTGAAGTAGAGGGGGGTAGAAATAGCCTAAACTTCTCTATCCCTTTGAGATGTATTTCTTGCTTATCTCAATAAACATACTTGAACTTGATCCAAGGGTTTCTCTTCTAACTCCTGCCTCTTTACTAGACATATCAACACTTTCACTACACACAACACTGTGTGTTGTAGTAATATGGTCTATGTATTATTATAGTGTATTAATGTGTTATTAATACACTGGGCTACACTGCGCTATACATGTATTATATTAATAAACTTGGGCAACAAAACACTGCACTATACATAGTGTATACAACACCAGGTGTTGAACCAACCCGTCCTCCTAACAGAACGCTTCCTAGCGGCAAAGTGATGTACCCTTCACCTGCTTGATACCTGCTTTGACATTTTAACCTAAGGACAAAAACTCTCGTACTAGAAAATGGTAGCGGATCGCGACATTTACATACTGGCCCGTTTTCTGTTTTGGCTCCTCTCTTATCTTAGGAGAGGAGACTTTAGTACAACAGTATCTTGACGTTGTGAAACTGAGGAGGACGGGTTGGTTGACCACACCTAACAGCTGCTCCCTATAGCACCAACACACAAACTGTATACTCCACTATGCCATAACACATCCCAACCACAACAGTACGTGGGAAATGTTGTATTAATATGGAAGTGAACGCAGGTAGGTGTGTGCCTACTATACTATATACTACATATTGATCTCCAACACACTCGCACATATTCACATTCCCAGGAAGAAGCCCGTAGCAACTGTCTAACTCTCAGGTACCTGTTTATTGCTAGGTTAACAGGAGCATCAGGTGAAAGAACGTTTGCCCATTTGTTTCTGCCTCGGCCTGGAATCAAACCCAGGTCCTTACGACTACCGAACGCTGTCCACTCGATTGAGAGATCATGTGTGTGTGTGTGGGGGGGGGGGTATTACTAAGCATTAATACTGATGGATGAAGCACTACAGAACAAGGATTGAAGGACACGCTGCAGCTGAGGTCATAACATGACCTAGCGGCTTGTAGGCTCCACTCAAGCAGTCTGTATACAGCCTTCACTAAATTGCCATTACCACACACACACATCCAAATACAAACTAAGTCTGTATAGACAACGAAAGCATGAACAATAATGTATGTTTCCTGGTTAATATGACTAATCCAAGAAAGATTATCTATGTTACTGTGTATCGATAGTTCTCTTACATTGTATCATGTATCCACAAAACCAATGCAGGCAGGCGGGCGGGCAAGCAGGTGGGTGGGTGGGTGGGTTCATACGAGCAGGCACGACCGGCCACCCTAGGTTCGACTCCCGCAACAAAAACATTTTCTTTTACCTAATGTCTCTGTTCAACCTAGAAGTCAATAGGTACCCCTGGAGTTAGGCAACTCTTGTAGAGTTGCATCATAGGTAAGAACAGTAGTTGCACCTTATGGGGGACCTCAAAATCAAATCAAATCAAATGTTTATTTGGGTAAGGTACATACATACAAGAGGTTTTACAAGATACAAGCCTAAAAAACACACATGTTAAGCCGTTTACGACAAGCCGCCGGTTTTCTGTCCTCGTCGAGGCCACTAAGGTTAGTGACCCTCTGGTAAATCAGGTATATACACAGGCTTTCTGTCTCCGACAATACGAATTACACGAGGTCAGATATGCTGAAGCAGTTCCCCCTAAAATTAAGAGAAAACGAAAGCTACTGTTAAAAGACAGAAAACCTCTAAACTTGCTAGTAAAGGGGACACAATAATATACTCGTCATTTCTTAATTTAGTTTCACCATATTACTTAGAAGTGAATACATTTACCGTACGGTGCTTTTAAGCCAAAAATGCACAGCAGTTCTTATGGTGATACTTCCAGTTAAGAAGCCCTGCTCTAAGGAAACATGCCGACTAAGAATGAATTCATTATTGAAGAGTATAGTCTCCGGTCTCCAGTCTCCGGAAGAGTATAGTCTAGTCTCCGTGGTGTAGTGGTAAGACACTCGCCTGGCGTTCCGCGAGCACTTTGTCATGGGTTCGTATCCTGGCCGGGGAGGATTTACTGGGCGCAAATCCTTAACTGTAGCCTCTGTTTAACGCAACAGTAAAATGTGTACTTGGTTGTAACAACGATTCTTCGCGGCGGGGATCGTATTCCAGGGACCTGCCCGAAACGCTACTAGTGGCTAGTGTACCGTGTACTAGTGTACCGTGACCACCGCACCAATGATCGTCTACCCTGGTGCGGTGGTCACGGTACTGTGTACGTTTAGGGGTGATCCTGGACGGCATGGGTTCGAATCCTGGCCGGGTCAAAGAGTTCTTAGTGATCTATGGCTTGCGCGTTCATGCAGCTTTCTCACATATATATATATGAAGAGTGCCAGACATGAAGACTGGTGGCGGAAGTGTGGCTGGTGGTGGAAGTGTGGGTGGTGGCGGAAGTGTGGCTGGTGGCGGAAGTGAGGGTGGTGGCGGAAGTGTGGCTGGTGGCGGAAGTGTGGCTGGTGGCGGAAGTGAGGGTGGAGGCGGAAGTGAGGCTGGTGGCGGAAGTGTGGCTGGTGGCGGAAGTGAGGCTGGTGGCGGAAGTGAGGCTGGTGGTGGAAGTGAGGCTGGTGGCGGAAGTGAGGCTGGTGGCGGAAGTGTGGCTGGTGGTGGAAGTGAGGCTGGTGGCGGAAGTGAGGCTGGTGGCGGAAGTGAGGCTGGTGGCGGAAGTGTGGCTGGTGGCGGAAGTGTGGCTGGTGGCGGAAGTGAGGCTGGTGGTGGAAGTGAGGTTGGTGGCGGAAGTGTGGCTGGTGGCGGAAGTGTGGCTGGTGGCGGAAGTGTGGCTGGTGGCGGAAGTGTGGCTGGTGGCGGAAGTGAGGCTGGTGGCGGAAGTGTGGCTGGTGGTGGAAGTGTGGCTGGTGGCGGAAGTGAGGCTGGTGGCGGAAGTGTGGCTGGTGGCGGAAGTGTGGCTGGTGGCGGAAGTGAGGTTGGTGGCGGAAGTGTGGCTGGTGGCGGAAGTGTGGCTGGTGGCGGAAGTGTGGCTGGTGGCGGAAGTGAGGCTGGTGGCGGAAGTGTGGCTGGTGGCGGAAGTGTGGCTGGTGGCGGAAGTGTGGCTGGTGGCGGAAGTGTGGCTGGTGGCGGAAGTGAGGCTGGTGGCGGAAGTGAGGCTGGTGGCGGAAGTGAGGCTGGTGGCGGAAGTGTGGCTGGTGGCGGAAGTGTGGCTGGTGGCGGAAGTGTGGCTGGTGGCGGAAGTGTGGCTGGTGGCGGAAGTGTGGCTGGTGGCGGAAGTGTGGCTGGTGGCGGAAGTGTGGCTGGTGGCGGAAGTGTGGCTGGTGGCGGAAGTGTGGCTGGTGGCGGAAGTGAGGTTGGTGGCGGAAGTGTGGCTGGTGGCGGAAGTGTGGCTGGTGGCGGAAGTGTGGCTGGTGGCGGAAGTGTGGCTGGTGGCGGAAGTGTGGCTGGTGGCGGAAGTGTGGCTGGTGGCGGAAGTGTGGCTGGTGGCGGAAGTGTGGCTGGTGGCGGAAGTGTGGCTGGTGGCGGAAGTGTGGCTGGTGGCGGAAGTGTGGCTGGTG